GTTTTCCCATGTTCAATCTGCAGACCCCAATTATGAAAATATTTTGATGAAATTCAGTATATTGAGGTGTCTCGGTCCACGAACGAATGCTACTGAAAATGATTCGGGTTGCTCCACTTTTTCGATCCCTCATCAGATAAAGCCTTGTCTTGAAAGGTCGTTACACGAATAAATTTAAGGCGGCGCAGGGTATTCAATAGTGAACCATAGCCATGGTCCAGCATACCCTTTTATATATATATATATATATATATATATATATATATATATATATATATAAAAATATATATATCACTAAGTATGCAGTTTAGTTATCAAATTGCAACACACACACTCTGGAAGCAGAACACAGCCATCAATAAATTGTTTACGAATTTTATCGCGATTCTAAAAATGACTCGGACGTATGCCAGGTGTGCGAATAATTCGCTAGTACGTCCTCGACGAGACAACATTTCTTTGTCTGCAAGCATTTGGAAAGATGCTGTGATTTCTTTATGTGAAATTTTCCGCAACAGTATAAGTGAACTCAATGAAGAGCACTTTATGTCGTGCTTTAGTGTATCATTTATGTTTCGAGTTTTAAGCAGAGAAAAAAAAGAAGAAAACAAATCAAAGGATAGCGCGCTGGTAATTTGGAACTGATTATGAAAAAAAGATGCGCCACCTAATGCCAGCTGATGCAATTCAACGGAAAAATTACCATATCATGGCAGAAGGGGTACGATAACGTTTACTTTTCGCCATGACTATGCTCGGCCGAACGGTTCAAAATACGCCCAGTACACGTTAGCCGTACTAAACTGATATAAATAGTACTCCCGTGGTGGTTCGGATCGGTTCGCTATTCTGAAAACTCGTTATATGGTATTTTTGCACTTTAAGTTGTTATAAAAAACTTTGGACCCGCTGTGGCAATTTTTGAACTCCCTCTCCTATAACGAAAACTAAAGTTCGTACGACAAAAAGGTATAATTTTCAATGCTTCATGATAAAAATTATATCGTAATAGTAATTGTAACAGTAAAAAAAAAAAAAAAATTAACTGTGCAAAATTTGAACTATCTACACCTATTTTTTCTAGTACAAATTTCCGTAAGGGTAAGTTGATATAAAAGTCCCGGTATAATTTTTGTGTTCTATGGCAACAATAGCTAGGAGTAGGGTATTTAAAAGTCGGCTTAGCCCTAGATACTGTAATTTTTTTCACTTAATTTTTCTTTCATAAAAACAAAACGAATAAAAATGAAGAATTTTTCGGAACACTTGAAACCGGTTTGTGTTACATGCCAGTAATTTTCCGATGGAAAGATTTTTCATTCAATACTTGGGAAAAATGCATATTTTGTAGACAGCTGTAAAGCTCCCCATTCACTAAAGTGAATCCATAATCGATAGATATCGAAGTTACGCGATGATATGAGATGAGTAACGTTAATTTGGTCCCTAGTATTTCTGGATACTCTTGATCACAAAATATAATATAATAAATGCTGAAATAAGTCTTCAAAATATTTATTTGCCTTTATGCCCGATTTTCATGCAGTTTTAATTCTTGTCACACAATCGCTCCCGAAAGTAAATTGATACGACAATCGTAACTATATTGAGAGGGAAAAATCGTAAGTAAACACCTTTCATATATATATATATATATATATATATATATACTAATGCGAAGCCAACAGATATCTCATCCATTTATGATAAATGACTTTTGAATAACACAATGCATTACAACGTCCATTAATGAAATAGAGTAGTTGTGAAAAACAAGAGAAATAAGAAGAATTTCGAATGTAGAGAAATGAGAGACAAGGTTATCCTTTTTTTTTTTTTTTTTTTTTTCAAGACTTATGTTAAAAACATTGGCTTTTAGGCAATCATTGCAACAAGTTGTAAAGTTATATCTGTCCATTTTGCATATTAAATCTTAAATGGCCTGAACGGAGCGATGTATAGTTAATTCATTAATCAAATTAATGATTTGATTGATCTCTCGTATGTATTAATGGGCGCATTGCCACTCACTCAGTTGCGGAAACACAAAAACATTCTCTATGAACTCTTCATAGCAGGTGTGTGCAAATAAATTCTTTATATGAAAATTGATTGCTAACGCGTTCATTTCTTCCGAAATTTTGGGTATACGTAGCTAAGGCATTGTGTGTTCTTTTGTACGAGATGTAAGTTTCAGTTCTTTATATGCTGTCATCATTCATTCGGTGTTTATCAAAGTGTAAAGAGAGATGAAGAGAGAATACTGCTTGTCTGTCTTTACGGCAATTCATGTTATTCGGTTTTAAGGCTTTAGCTGTAGGAAATGATTAAGTGGGCAACAAATTTGTTTCGTTCCGATTAGCACTGGTTCAGATCGATGTAGAGCATATTTAGCAGAGCAGCGTTTCTGGAAAGTTGAATATGTGTAAAGAAAATGGATCGATGACTGATGAGGCTTTTAATGCGAAAATTGTGGCTGGCCGTTAGTTAGTCGATAAGAGACGCAAAAGGCCCTAGATAACGATGGTAAAAAATATTTCAATTATTGAGCTTTCAATAAATTTGAATTTTTTTAAAAAAATGCAGAAAATTTTTTCGCATACCTAGCATACCTAACACTTTGTTTTGTTAAATAATCGAGTTTTGTATCAGTCTATGAATGAAGAGTGTAAGTTTTAACTTTCCCAAGAATCTTTCCCAAGAGTTCCAAGAAAAGATACCCGAACACTTAAGGCTATTATTCTATAGACTGATCATCTATTTAATTTTCCAGGAACGAAAGTGAGTAACAGAGTGGATTTAATAGTGGATACAATCATAATAATAATAATAAGAAGAAGAAGAAGAAAAAAAACTATTTTTCTTCTGATATATATAAGTAAAATCTCTCTAAGTGACATAATAAAGTTCAAGGTCAAAAGTTGATTCTTTTAGTTAAGCGAAAGCTTGTTTCTTTGTGGTCGAGTTTTTCGCTAATCAATCAAAAATGATGTAAAAACATTTAAGAGTTTCTTTTTAAACCCTGCACCCACTTGTGGTAGAAGGATATATGAGATTTGTGCGAATGTATGTAGTCAATATTCAGCAGGGGCTTGCCATAGAGGCATTGTTTATTATACGGATCGCTTCATAATCATTTTTTGAATCCATCTAAGCTTCTCTATCTGTTCATTCGTCTTGTTTACTTGCGTTCAGCCTACGGATCCCAATTTTCGAGATATTTTAAACCGAGATGTTTTTGCCCGAAAAAGAAAGTGATTGGCGCACTTTTTCGACAAATTCCGATAAAAGGTCTTACTTTGAAAAAGCATCATATGAAAAGCTATATTAAGCGTAGTGGTGTAAGGTATTTAATGGCGAGCCGTGTCACGCTATAGCATTTTATTCGTAATTCTTAACAAGTGCCAGATTCTGTGTCACCGTCAATCAATAGAAATGGCGGCGAAAAATTAAAATTTCATTTGAAACCACATCAGAGAATCACATATCAGGTTTGAAGTCGTCATGAGTTGTGTATATATGCATTATAAAAGCATTCCACAGTCATGCGGACAGACTTGAATAAATCGATCCAGAATTTCATACGAATCAGGAGCACGTACACTTTATAAGGTCTCTGAAGCTTTCTTCTTCTGCGTATTACGAACACAAACAGCCCATCCTTCAATAGTGGGCTTAAAGATGCTTGTGACTTGCAGTGAGAAAGGAAACTTTTCTGCAAAGGTGGGGATTAATTGGAAACTTCTCGCTTATTGCATAGTATTGTCACTACTCTTTGTCGAATGGATTAGTTTCAGGCTATACTCGACACGGTAGTGTTTTTGAATATATCGAATTTTATGAAAAATGTTGAAAAGTGATGTTCCCGATGGGGATGTGTGCTGTGAGTGGAACTGGATAACTGGAAAATTAATACGCTACGATAAACCGAAGAGGAAAACGAGAAATTAAAGTTTGTGCGCATCACGCGCGAACTATCAACGTCAACGGCAAATCGGGAAACTTTTGCCATTAAGTTTAGTCTCAGTTTTTGATAGAATCCTCTACAGAACCCTACGTTGCTGAAGAGAAAACGGTTGACAGGTATATGTCATGCTGCCTTACTTTCACTTTTAATACATTTTGCATTGCAAACTGCAAACTCGAAGATGTCGTTTTCGATGAACGGGGCTTGTCACTGCTTGTCACTGTCGATAAAATTGAATCATTAAACACTTTAATGCTTAAGTTCAAGATTGAGCGGTCAGTTGTTTGCCGACATTTAGGGAACCATCAAGAGAATGACAAATAATTTTGAATTTCGATACTAAATCTATACATTCACACGTAATCCGATTATTTCGTTTCTGTGGCATATTATTAGGCTGGTATCGCAATGGGCACAGGCGGAGGTCAGATTGCCAGATTGGCGGTAATGTGCAGGACAATGTGCAAGTAAAAAGATTGATAAACTACGCAAACTACTAAGGAACTAAGGTAGAACGATCTAAGCTTGGTCACCGGTCCCAATAACCATCATAATTCCCTCTAGGTACCATCCGAAAAACATTTGCTATTTCTGTATGACATCGATTCATGATCAGATTCTACCGACCGACAAGTACGATGACCCGTCACATTGTATGTGAATGTAAGAAAAAGACACCAAGTGTTTGGCGGCCGCTTTAGTTAGAAATGCCGCGATTATGAAGAAGGTGGCGGAATACACATTAAAATCTTAAGACTGGAAAGCTGCTCTTTAAAGTCGTGGTATGGCAGGCATACCTCTACACAATTACTAATAACAATAAATTTATTTATTTACCGTGATTATCGGCAACTTTATAGGGGAAACGAGCTTGCTTTGATTGTCAACGCTCGTCTGCATACATATATAAAGTCATACATGTAATTTATAAAATGCACAAACATGTCAAGAGAGATAATAGATATCGAATGTCTGAAGGTTTTGAGAGAATTTCTCATCATTACATATATATAAGAAATAATGCTATGCTTACCTTCCATCTTTCTGCGCATTTTCTTGAGAATTCAGCAAAGATGACCGTTTCGTCGGGATGTTTTTTCTTATGTTCTTCACGGCATGTCTGCACAAAATAGGCATATGCTGTCATACGGCCACGTGGTTTAGCATCAGCCTTACCGCCGCCACCACCTCCGCCACCAGCACGAATCATGTTATTCTAAATTAGTTAATATTGTAAAATATAAAATTCATATAATTAAAATTAATATAAATAAGTTAAGGGCATGCAAGTAATCAATTACTTTGATAGGATGTGAAACGCTAGCAATTACGGAATCTATGATAATAGGATTCAAGGTAGAGGAATTATCTGCGCATTCGCAACAGAAATAATAGATAAGGAATTGGATAATATTAAGTTACGGGCGGATTCTTGCTGCGTTATTTGTATCTGCTGCCCCGAATCGTTTTCGCGACTATCAGATGATGATCTGGTAGCAGTAACATCAGTCACTGTTCCGATCGCTGCTGTAATAGTAGTAGTAGTAGTAGTAGTAGTAGTAGTTGATATACTCCTGCCGACCGAGGCAATTGCTGTACTTGCCTGCCTTACATGCAATATTTAGGAAAATGTAGTGTGACGTTGAAATTGAAATTAAGCGATCACTTGGGCACATCGTAAAAGTAAATTAACAAAAAGAATACCCCCGGAAAAAAGAGTTGCAAAGAAATGGGGAAAAATAGAATTCATTCAAAGTGCATTTGGGCGATACAATGAATATAAATTCCATTTAAAAAATATAAAATGAAAGAAAAATTTTGCAAACGATTATAATGCATGTACATATACATAGGCATAGACACAAATGCGAGAATTATGAGATAAATGAGAATAAAAATTAAGCCACAATTTGGATATCACTTTTGTATCGAAACACATATACACAACAAGTATATATTGGATAGGTTAAGAACAGCCTCCAACCCCATTTTTGGTCACATATATATATATACATATATATACAGACAAAATAGAGGAACCGTACAAATACACTAAAGATTACCCAAAAAAAAAAAAAAAAAAAAAAAAAAAAAAATGTAACATTCATTGTAAATATATAATGAAAAATATTTAATATTTTACGACGTCACCCAACTGAAATAATTGCTTTATATAATATGCAACAATGTATTAAAACATAATAAAATACTACTCTCAGCGTAATCGAAATTTTTTTTCGAATAATTACAATAAGCGACTTACTTGTCTATCTATCTACCTATTTCCTTACCCCCCCCCACCTTTCCCGGCCGATCAGCAAACCTTGAAAGGGGGGAGCGACAATTTTGAGCTAAGAAAGTTTCCTCCAATCAAAAATATATAATCGCACTTAATATTAGAAATGAAATCTGAGCACACACATACATCTGAGCAAGACAAATGAACAAAATTTCTCGCACGAAAGTGAAAACAATTCACAACCGGCTTTTCCGGGCACTAAGTGGCACGTAACACATGTTATTCATATTAGCAAGAAATCAATTTGGTCTCACCAATCGACTTTACCCAAAAAGCAAATTTCATTTAATATAAGATATGAAAAGAAAATATGAAAGAAGGGCACAAAGAGATGCTGTAGCGAGCGAAATAGCTGACTATTGTAACGAACAAATTTGGAAAGTGTTCCGTAACACGACGGCTGATATAAGCCAAAAACAAGTAAGACAGTTATATTATTGGGCAGGACCTGAATCTCGCATTTCAGTCTTCTAACTTGAATAACTTGTGTATACCGAGGAAAAATCCACAAATTTTTCTTAAGAAAACGGGGATAAGGTCCACAGCGGGTCTCCGCTCTCAATACCAACCTGAATGCAAAGACTTCCAATGTTCTTACCAAACTTGTCGTCGATATCTACATTTTTGCGATTAGGTGAGTGCCAACAACAAATATCACAAGGAAGCGCAAACATAGCTTAAACAATTCAGAATTTCATGCTGGTCAGGATAGAATACATTTTATAGGGTCTCTGCAGCTTTCTTAGTGGGTTTTACATACAATAAGAAACACCACACAGATGGACAGACATAGCTTAATCAATTCAGAAAGCATGTTTTCAATTCTGTTTACCTTAATAGGACACCCTGGAAGCATTGTCAAGGAGTGAAAATTAAAAGCACTTTATGGCTTCGGAGCCATATTTGTGCAAAATGTGCCAGCAAAGCTGTCGAGGCCTTTTCTCCGATGTGCTATTCCACACGTGATCCCATTCTATGTACATTATGATTCCAGACTAAATATTGCAATTAAAAAAAAAAAAAAAAAGAGACAATTATACCGTTATGGAACAACATTAAAAAAAAGTACGAAAAAAAAAAAGAAAAACAAGGAATCCGCGTGAGTGGTCGAAGGCGAGGAATCTCGACTAGCAACTCAACGATCGTGGGTTCGAATCTCACGCGCGGTAGTGTTTTTAATAAAAGCCGATAGCCTTAGATGCTAGTGAGTCTAAGAGTTTAGTCTTAGAATTTATTTCTCTGGCGAAATTAATAATAATAATAATAATAATAATAATAATAAAAGAAGGTAGCCGTTCGTTCTTTCTACTCGATCACTTTAATATCGCCGGCATTCATACTAATAGCATTTCTTTCATTTCAAGCTTTATCATCTCAATTGTTTATCTCTGATTTTTTTAATGAATTGTTGGCAATTCGATATCATTGTTCCAAATCGGTTAACGAAAGATTTTTAAAATTATATTTGTCTATGTTTTAAGAAGGTGTACCCATACGCCTACCGAGCGGAAAACTTGGTAGCGCAGCTCCCAAAAGACATATGACACCTCGAAACGCTTCCAATTCAAAACAAGTCGTGTTAGCCTCTGTCGTATCGAGTTCAGCAAAACATTGCTTTTATTAATGGCAAGTGTGGTACCCAACCTGCCGATATTCAACAATACAGCCACGCTTGGGCATGTAGGCGTTGTGGGCGTTTCCTTTGAAAAGTGTAGGCCACTTTGAAATTCTTTTGCAAATTTATAGGCGATCGGGAGAATGTTAATCACAGAAACTACTTAGTTGGGCAGATGGACCAATGGATAGAAGGACAGACGGACGTATTTAGATATATTTCATATTTGATGCTAATCAAGAGTATTTATACTTTGTGGCGTCTCTGGTGCTTCGTTCAGGACGTTGCATGCTTTTTGACGAAATGAACATATCTCTCATCCTTTGGTGATGGTTTATACCCAAAAGCATTTCTAGGGCTACTCTAAAGGGATCGTCTACATAATCGAGCTTAATGAATTTTCAACATCCATCTCCATGTCATTTAATTAGAAATATTCATCAATCACAACTCAATCGATTCACGCTGACTAAGCATATATATGCTGCAAATGGATATAATATATATAACAAACAGAAGTATAGACTTCCTTATCTATAATAAAATAAATAAATAAATAAATAAATAAATAGATGTTAGAAACACGTATTCGAGAGATAATAAATAGCTTTCTTTTCATTCGCTTTAGGTGTAATAAAATTCTTCTACATTCCGCGCTTGCATTCAAATTAACGCTCAAGTGTGAAGTGATTGGAAAAGGTGTGAATAAGGGACAAGAAATTGAATATAACAACAGATTCACTAACAATGTTATAAACTTTCTAATTAGACAAGAGCTACCATTAAGTGTACATTATTCGTTCGGATCAAAAATGTTCCATTTTCGATATGATACATTTTCGGGACCAAATATCTCTAAAGGCATGAAAATGTTTTACAGATTGAAGATAGAAAAGGACGGACGAATAGATCTGGGCTAAAAAAACCGAAGAAGAAAGAAATAATTTTATAATTGGTTCAAGGAAGAAAATATATATAACCGTTCGGGTATTACATCCATCTAAATATATACTTAATAAACCCTGTATAATAAGTCGTGTAAAATTATTCTTTCTCTCTCTCTCTCTCTCTCTCTGTGTGTCTATCTCGCTCTCCCTCTCCCTCTCGCTCTCTCCCTCACCCCTCTCTCCACTCTCTCTCTCTCTCTCACTCTTTCCACTCTCTCTCTCTCTCCCTCTCCCTCTTCCTTTGAAATTTACGCATGCCCAGAAGACAGTATGTCGAAAGAAGCTTACTATAGGTAGAATATGTTAAAAACGATACATTAGAAATTTGGTTTATTGAGTTGCGACGAAAGCGATGACAAATTTATCTCAACTTGAATACGATTCTTTCGTCTTTTTTTTACTTGTTTCTGCCGTTCCTGGGGACGGTGAACGTCTATTTTTGCAATAAAGCCTTAGTTGGCTCCAATGCTTGGCTCCGCACAAAGTGTTATCTTAATATCTTTGACGATTATTTACTCTTTCTAAAGCATTTTATTATTCACAAATCAAATTCATTTCCAAGTCGACTTGGAATCTCAAACTTATTAAGACTACGATTTATACTCTAACGAGATGTATAGCTATTAGGTGTTGGCGCATGTATTTTGATTTTTTCACTTGAAAAAGGCATTCATTGAGGAATATTGATACAATATGAACCATTGAAACATTTTTGCACTTCTTCAACATTTCGAAATTGGGGGCAAGCCAAGTTCTGCTGCATTGATCTGCACAAGTAGTAATTAGAAAGAGCTATGCCTGGTGAGTACGCTAGGTGCGCGACAGAACCTCGCATTCGAGTTGATAAATCTGCAACATTTGTCCGAATGTTGCCACGCCAGACGATGACTTTGCGGCTGTTAGTCACGTCTTCTCTCGTCTCCTTTGCAACAATACATCGTTCAATTTATTCAATTGGTGTCGGCAGACAACCGCAGTACCAGTTCCATTCGGTTTAAGCAGCTCGTAACAACAACACTACATCTTGCTAAACATCTGATGCCGATGACCCCTAAACTAACTTATGATCTTTTGCGATTGGGATTGTCGTAGGTAGTAGGCCCATCCAATTTTCATCGCCAATCACAATGCGCTACAGAAAACTTCTTTATCTTTTGCATGGCAAGCAGTGAAACGGTTCGAAATAATACTTTCAGTCAATTCGTACGGTAGCCATTTTCCCTTCTTTTGGTTCTTCGAATCGAATCGCATCGCAACGCATATAAACGTGTAGAAACAGTTGATTCATTTACTGCTAAACTGTTCGAGAGTTCTTTGAAAGTTTGAGTTGGATTTTTGTCAGCTACGTCGTGCAATCCATTGCCTTCGAATTTTTTTTCGGTCAACCATGCCATTCTTTGTCATTGACTTCAAAATCATCAAAATGATATATGACGAAGCAGCATCACGATAAGGCTTCTAAAAGCGTTTGTGATAGACTTCGGCAGCAGATTTTTTCAAATCAAATAACAAAGGTAATGAATATTAAAAAGGCAATTTTGGGCATTGCATGATTAGCGTCACATCGCACTGAATAACTTGATAATATTAAATGGGAAATTATTACTTTATGTAGAGGAAAGGGTAAGGTCAAAATTATCGAGCTTTAATCGTTGTGTACATTGATTCACGTAAAGTGGTATTTCGATGGCGAATATAATATTCGAATATTGAATTAAGAAGCAATCGAAGATTATGTTATGTTTGATTTAAAGCAAGTTGATCGATACCCATCACAAAGTTATAAGCATATCTTCAGCTATATTTTCCAAAGTCGTGAAGAGATCGCTAATCATAGCTGGAAAAAAATATGTTCTGTTGCCATAGTCGTCTATATGACTTTAGATCCAATTTGATGTTATGGAGCAGTAATCACAAGACTTTTCAATATCAATTTTGTAACATAACAGGCGTGTATTGTTACGAAAACCACAAAATAAATAAAATGTCAAAAATATGATGGGGGCGGGTGGTGGATGAAAGAAGAAAACAATGAAGCAAACTAAAATGAATTTCGCCATCAAGCCACACATGTCACACGGTATTAGATGTATTGTAAAAACGCATTTATTGCTTTTGCGAAAGTGTATTAATTGATTCAATGATCAAATAATTAATACCATATCTATATCATATCTGGTATGATCTCCATCCAGCCAAAAGAAAAGCTAAGAAAATTGCTTTGAACAGCTATAGCTCATCTTCAATTTGGAACCGGGCGCTCTTGTTCTTAAAGTTTCTTTTTTTTTTTTTTGTCTTTGAATAATCGCTCACGCTTTACTCTAATGAAATTGATTAGTAAGTCTGTCTTATAGGGTTTTTTATTAACTCTTACTTTTGCTTCTTTTCCACAAAGTTACATAAATATATTATTTTTAAATATTATTTTTATAATATTTTACTCTTAAATTCATTCAATCAGTGGTCGGTCTTAAGAATATGCTCCAATTACAAACATTTTTAATAGCATTCGTCCCGTCCTTGAGTCAAACGCCCCGATATTGCGAATTTCATAAATATATATCTCAAAAATTTGCGAACAATAGACGCAAGAAAACAAAACAAACAAAGTGCATCTCTCTTAACTCCTTCTGCATGGTTGCACGCATTCGCCCAACCTGAGTTTAATCATGCTGTGCTTACGCCACAAACAAAGTAGGGCATCAAAAGGAGAAAGAAAAGTAAATTCTTTTACAAAAATTTATATAATATATATATATACATATATGCAATATATATATATATATATATTTTTCTTTTTCTTTTTACCAGGTCCTATACAAACGTATTTACAAACAGCAAGGCTCACTTCCTTATCCTAAGCACTGAACACGCACTGATAGGTCCGTCCCCAGTCGTATGCCTATTTTGCTAAACAACGGTAAAAAATCCGGCCTTTTATCTTTTTATGTTTTTCTTTAAGCATAAATCTGAAGACTTGAAAAAACTTCTTACTTATACTTATTCTTCAACAGGTCACTGCGAATTTTTTATTATAATAACAGAGTGCAGTATGCAAAGATCTAAAGAGAAAATATATTTTCAAATTGAAGTAAAATACGATAGGAAATTATACAAAAAAATAGGGGAAAAAATAATCGCGACAATTTTATGCAATTTTGTAGAAAATTAATAAAAAAGGAGGTTATTATTATTATTATTATTATAAATTTAGCCAGAGAATAAATTCTAAGACTAAAGTCTTAAAGCACTAGCATCTAGGGCTATCGGCTTTTATTAAAAAACTCTACCGCACTTGAGGTTTGAACCCACGACTATTGAGTTGCTAGTCGAGACTCTTGCCTACTCGGCCACTCAGGCGGATGAGGTTATTATTATTTTTATACCTACCAACCACTGCAAGATGGGGTTATAATAATAATAAAATTTTTTTTTTTTTTTTTTTTTTTTTTCCAAAAGGAAGCTTCAGAGATCTTATGAGGTATATATATATACTCTTGATTCATGCTGAGCAATTCTGAATTGATTTAGCCATGTCTGTCAGTCTATGTCGTGTTGTGTGTTGTTGTTGTTGGCGCTCTTCCGATCGCTAAAATGAATATATCAACTTCAAATTTGATAGAACCATTGGAAATTTTTGCACACAGGTTGATGTTCAAAATAGGCCAAATCGATCGGATCGGAAACGCGCAGTGGAGTGTAAACTGAACGTAACTTCGTTTTTTTTTTTTTTTTTTTTTTAATAAAACATTTTTGGATTTTTTGCTCGTTCTTTGGAAATTACGAAAGTTGGAAGGTGGAAGAAATTTCCCATATTTACTTAACGAAACACTCTACTCCGCTATTGCTCACACAAAGTTACAAATGATTAAATTCTGTTTTTTTTTTTTTTTTTTTTTTTTTCTTCACTCTTTTGGACTTTTGCGCTTATTTATCATAAGGCAAACAAGACCGAATGTTTACAATCATTTTGTGCACTCTATAAATGGACATTTATTATCTGCCTAACAATGGGTACGAATTCGAAAATCAATAGAGAGACCGCGCAGAAGACCGCGATTACTCTTTTTCTTAAGAAGAAGACAAGCGATATGGGTATCAAATAAAAGCAATTCGGGAGAGAAGAATGCGAAGAACACAGTGATGGGCAAGATGGCAAGATTGGACACTTGCCGAATATAACTTATCTACTTGTTTTTATTAATTCATTTATAAATCAAGTTTGTTAAAAAAAAATGGAATAAATGGGATAAGACTTACCAAACTAAATTAATATTTTCACGTAGATGATCTTTCGTGAATTTATGTTTTTATTCAACTACCTTCGTACCGTCGAATTGTGATATTTTGGATAGTATTTATAGTTTTTATTTACAACTCTTAGGAGATCTATTTATAAAATTATTTACAGGAATTTTATATTAGCAATGCTCTTCAACAAATTCTCGTTCTGGTCTTGTGCGTTCGAATATTGCAATCCAACTCCATCTCTTGACTCGACTCTCTCTCGGACTAACTTTCGACTCACTCTTTTCGTCCGAGTCTTTGCCTTTCACAAATAGTTCGCTTATATACCCTGTTACAAGTAAGTTATCGTTACGTAAACGTTGAATGTCTTGCACTTATATTGGGCAATTTTTTTTATTCACTTTTGCTTCAGAATACAAAAAGTGACAGAAACGATGAAAGGCAAACACAAGCTACTATGAGGGATAATAAATAATACAACAAGAAGATCAAAAAGGAATTGTTATAGAAACATCTTTTGAGAAGTTTGGATCACACATAGGTGTATTTATCGGGCATCCCATTCCATTTAGAATTTCGGATGAAAAGCAATCGTTTTTTTTTTTTTTTTTTTTTTTACAATAACAATGTCAGCTATTCAAGAATAATAAATTATTTGATAAGAATCTTAACATTTACATAAATTCGGACGGCTTTCGGACTGGGTACTCTCTCCTATAAAAAAAATCTATACACATGCCGACAATGTAAAGCGACGACAAAAGACGAAGAAAGAGATATCAACTATGCGAACTAGTGGTTTAGCGAATTTCATTGTCGACCGTAATGTTTTAACTTTTTTTTTGCTTCCCTACTATCAAAATGCTGGACCCGAAACAAGCAATGACGAAGCCTTTTCCTAGTCAAACAACAACCACTACTATTATCTATTAACCTAATGATTTAGAGAGCGCTTCTATCAACATATCGACGATTGTGTTTGGAAAAAGGGCTTTGAAAATATTTTATAGCGCATCGCGACATTGAATCAATCTATCATTGTTCCCACCGATTGCACACATATTTATAGTTGTTAGATGAATAAAAGCGCTCCCTTAAAACTTCCCTCAGTTAGTTATTAGAAATTACTGTTATTAAGGACAGATGTTTCAATTCTGGCGAAAATTGAAACAAACAAACACACACATTTATTTACATGCAGATGCTCTTTTCTTTGTGTGAATATATCGAACGTGTACAAATCAATGAATCATTTTATGAATGGAACTAATACGCGCTACAAATTACGGTCTGTGATGAAGATCTAAAAACTAGTCATAAAAAAACAATAAAAAATAAAAATAA